CCCTTATTGTTCAAAATATTTCAGAAACTCACTGAAAACAATAACAAATTAATATTTAATTTCAATTTAAAATGCTTATCTTTTATATCGGGTAGTTTCATTGTTTTTAGTAAGTGACCGTTAGTTACTGAGGAGAAATATTTTAAAATCAAGTAGTTTTAAGATGACTAGTGTTAGTTACTCATTTAGCATAACGTATTTTTTTAATCGAGGTCGCCATGGGGATCGTGTTTCACGTGCCTGCTATTGAAATTGAAATAAAGTAACTAGGCTTATCAAAATTCCAATTAATACTAGTGGCAGCGACTTTTTTAAAGATATTGTATCTTCAATCAGTAGATTTCATTTGTGACAATGTCGAATATTAGTATTCTTTAAGATATATCAATATTTTAAAAAAAATAATAATAATCTTGAAATGTGTAGAACGTCTTAGTTCCGGGTTCGAATCATGTCACCAAACATACTCGCCCTTTCAGCTGTGGGGGCGTTTTAACGTGACGGCCAATCCCACTTTTTCTTGACAAAGATTAGCTCAAGAGTGGCCGATGAGTGGTGTTCAGTAGCGCAGATAGCCCTCGAGTAGCTCTGCGCGAAATTCAGCAAACAAACATATTCAAAATGTTTAACATTTAGCATATAGTTAGTTAACTTATAACGTTAGCTCGCATATCGTTCGTATAGTTTCACGATGCTTGTACGTTAAAACTGAATTTACTTTTAGCATTTATAATAATTTCCCGCAATTAAGTTGCAACAAAATCGCTTGCTACAAAAGACGGTCGTATATTTTATGTTCAAAACATTGTAAACTTATTCTGATACTACTACACTTCAAACAAATAATAATTGCACCAGAAATTTACCTCAAAATTCATAAAAACTAAAGGAAACGACTTTTACAAGGGAAGAAAGTACACAATCTAAGGTTTATTAGAACAGAATATATAAGCATGCGAATACGAACTAAGCTTTCATCATAGGTGAAGGAACCTATAACCCGACTAAAATTTGGATTTTTAATTCGTAACTGATTTAGGCTTATTAAATTAATACTATTACACCTCTCGGCCCTCGCCTAATACCACACTTGTGATTTTAGGTTTCATTAAACATCTAATGGTCATTTAAAATAAGATATTAAGTGACTGAGTTTTGGGAATAGTATCGACTGTTAGAGAGTGTCTTCTAAAGGATACCGTCCTCAATATGGTAATTCCAGTGCAAAGTATCCTTTTTGGGGCAACAGAATCAAAAGTGCACGTTTCTGCCGTAGCACATTTCTGATCGAAACTAAATGCTTATGATCTCACCGTTATCCTTTATTGGCTCATTAATTAAACCGTTTTCTTTTAACCAAAAATATCACTTTCACAACGTACTGAAGTGAAATGAAAATCATGCGATGTCGCTAAGGTTAGTTTCAGAGGGCTTCGGATATAATACATTATAGGTGTAGGAGGCAAACTAAAAGTGGAGAGTAGGGGTGGGGGTGGGGGGTCAAGTTTTATTTGATTGAGCGAAGTAAGGAAATGTGCGACACAAGCGCGCCCATTACGGCTGGAGTCCAGGGCTCTCCCTACGGCTCTGGAAGCACCTGGATTCTAGTTTAAATTTTATGCATTCTCCTGCTTTTCCTGAGAGAAATTTTCCTAATTTTGAATATTTTTTTTCTGGGACAGATTGAAAAGTGAACCCCCCCCGCCTTCCAACGCCATTTTTACCTTCTTCCTGATATAATATCTCTGAATTTGATTTAATATTTCTGATCACTTTAGTATTGTTACATTGTATAACAGTTTTATAATCTCTAACAACTAGAATTATGTATTCCCTAAAGAGACATGTTATATTCTAAAAATTATTGGGTAGCATGTTTAATATATACGTTTCTGCTAATGTAGATTTTCACTACTATATTTTTATTATAGATATTATTTTTCATTGTTAGCTTAGTATATTGATTTACGAATAACTTAAGATATCCTAAGGTGGCCGAACCTCGTAAGATATTGTTAGGATTGTGGCCGAAAATGTTGCTAACAACAAGGATATCCAGCTGACGAAACAATGCATACTTAGCTTTATAAGCAAGAACATAATGTACTCATTACCGGGTTGATTTTTAGGAATGATCTGTGTTTGTAACTTGCTTTGAGCAGAAGTTAATATTAAATAATTCAGAGAATAGGTACTATAATTGTTTGAATGTCTGTATTTAACACCCAGCAACATAATGTCTGTGTAGGTATACTTTATTTTCCATTCTCAACCCTACGTTTATGCATAAGTGAATTATATTCATGTTACATAAAGTAACTGCAAGAGCTCAAGAACATGTTTTTAGTTTCCAAAATAACATATGCTGCTTGGCATGAAATATTGATAATATAATATTACCCCGTAACTATTTTAAGCAATTTTTTGAGATTTGATGTACACAATTAATTTTTTTTACATGGAATTCCGATGCATTGTTGTTGTTTCTATAGCGTTATAATTAAATGTAATTGATGGTTGTGACAGAAGTAATCAATTTTCCAAACAAACTTAGAAAACAATCATTTCTGAAACGGCGCAAAGTTCTTGTATTTGTTTTTTTTTCTAGAAAAACAATTTTATAATCCTGAAGCTGCAATATAAATATGCAAAAAAAAAGAAAGTTATTGTGTTGAGTAAGAAACACGTAGACATAAGCTGGTTAATCAGAAACCACATATCACATTTTTTAGCCATACATGCCTAAGAAACTTTCCTTCCATGTTTTATATTACCCCTAATATGTTTATCTTACCAGAAGTAAATGTCTGGACAGTTAGTAATTTGCTAAGGCTTCTTATGCATGAGTAAGACATAAATAAGAATCTGTGACAAGTGTAAAATGGAATGTACAGCATGTGTTAAATGTTCGTTTGATGACTCAAGTCACCCAATGAGTCGCAGAAAATGTTACATATTTTCGCCAGACTTCTGATTGTTTGTACTGATTATAAATAAAGAATAAACCAAACTTTTAAATACAAAAAAAGTACGATTAAGTAATTTCCTGTTTTTTTTTGTTTTTTTTTTTACTGGATGGGAAGTGATGAGACTTCTAGACTCGTGAAGTCGTAAGAAAAACTAACTATTTTTAATTTATTTATAAGTCAATATTGATTAGATTATGGTATAATGAAGAAAAGCTTTTTGTACAAACACTTTAATATGATTAATTCCACAAAAACTACAGCTTAGAGTTCGGTGTTTATTTTAGTCTGTTTGTCATGTTTTGAAGCACTATACGTAATAATGACACGTGGTGGCGAACAGAATGCAACCTTTGTATATGACACACTTCGGTCGTGAA